GGCCCCCTGCCGGAAGCCGCGCGTCCTCACCGGAAGAGGTGGAGTCGTCGTCCGGGCAACGCCCCTTCGATTGGCAACAGGGTAGGGAGGCGGGACACGAGCTCAGGCCGTCGCTTGGGTAACGGTTGGGGGCTGGGCGAAACGTGGGAGTGGCCTTGGCGCCGGCGACCGACGTGTGGTTGGCTGCGGGGACGAGGCCACAGGGGAAAGGGGCGTGGCCATCAAATAAGCACAAGTCCCTAGCAACGGCGCCATGGGAACCGTTTGCCTAGCAACGGTAGGACCCTCAAGAGAAGGCCTTATCCATACCCTGGCCTTCCTGTGACGTCACAGGTGACTCCTGGTGAACATAGTGTCTCCTGAAGATTCCCGATAGACACCAGACTGACCTCCAGTGTTTCCCACTGACATCTTCAAGTCTCTTAACTGGCTACAGTGAGAGCATTGGTGTTTCAATGGTAGAATTCTCTAACTGGCTACAGTGTCTCCAACCATTCCTCTTCACCCTTGAGGACCCACCAAATCCCGTTGATCTCCAATGTCTCCATAAAACTCAAAGGACTTCATCTGACCCACTACTAATTAACACTAAACATGTCCACATTTCCCACCAGCCTCCTGTATATCTCCATGATTTCACTAGCTTCAACAATCTCACTTGGTCCTCCAACACTCATCAAAATTTTATTGATCCCTGCAATGCCCTCAGTGTCCTAATGATCCAGTAGTAACCCCAAATCTCTTTCTGATCTCAGCAGCCCCCTGAGGAGTAGTGGGGCTGTCACTTCTCCTGAAGCCACCCTGCCTCCATCACAGATCTTCCCATGACCCACTTATTCAGTCACCTCCCAGATTTGTCACCAGAATGTCCCAGAAGCATTTCACACTCAACAAGTCTTGTGATGAAATTGACATCTTACTCCAAATCCTGCCCCTCTTCTCTGTCCCCATCTTAGGGCCAGCACTGCTATCCCCTCCAGTCTCCCAGGCTGCAGACCTCGGTGTCTCCCTAGATTTCTGCCACTTTCCTTCACTCTCTGATTCCAGTCCCCAAGTCTTTTGCATTCTGTCACTTAAATTCGTCTTTTCCAGTCCATTCCTCTGCACAGTCCTGGTCTAAACTCCTCTTCTCCTGCTTAGGCCCTCCCTTCATCAGTTTTGTCTCTGCTCTTCCAGATCCTGTTTCACCCCTCTGTCTACCCTCCACTTGGCATCTAGAGAGATCTTTCTAAAGCATGGATACATGTTCAGGGCACAAATACAATCTGTGGCCTCACTAGTGTTCTCAGGACAAAGTTAAGCCCTGAGTAATCTGCTCCTGCCAACTTACCTTTCCAGCCTCATCTCTCAGCACTGACTCCTCACACCATGTCCCCAAAGTGAGGTTTGAGAATCTACCCCAACACATCACTCTCTCTTGCCCTTGGGCACTCTCCCTTTGCACATCCTGTTCCCTCTAATTGGAATACCTTTTCCACTCTCCGTTTCCTTTACAAGCTATCTCAGGAGCTCTGCCAGTCCTTTGGGCTCCTTCACCTGTGTCTCCTGTGGAGTATGAGCCCCAGGAAAGCACATCTGGGGCCACTTGGTCACCTCTGTGTCCCCAGCACAGGGCTGGGCAGACAGGAGGCACTTCAATAGTTGTTTGCTGGCCAGATGAATGAAAAATGAACAGATGGAAGAGACTATGCTGGGCAACATCTGTGTTCCCAGCCAAGTGCCGCAGTCCTGATTTAGAAGCCATGTCAACAAATGAAGTGAAGAAATGAGTGATCCTGCTGGAATGCCCTGGGGAAATTTTATTCAGAGCAGCTGTCTTCCTCTTCTACCCCTGTCCTCTAGGGGCAGAAAACAAACCAACAGTGAAAAAACAAAACTATGTTTAAGGGAAAACCTGCTATCTACCTGCTTGAGGAAGGGGGCTATGGAGCTTCAGTCATCCTGGTCCTCGTCCTCATCTTCATCCTCATCCTCCTCCTCTTCCTCCGAGGCTGCCAACACCTGCTCCTGGGCAGCCTTGAGGGCCTGCTCCTCCTCCACTGTAGGGTCACTCATCTCCATGATCTCTGGGCCGCTGGGGTACTCTTGCTGAATAGGGGCTGGCAGGGGTGGGTTGAAGTTCTCAGGACTGTACTTGTGGCCCCAGCCGATGTAGATGTTCTCAAACTTCCTGGAGGGGCAGAGAGATGCTGGAAAATCCTCCCCTAAAGACCCCAGCCTAGACTTTTATTAAAGGTGGGACCCAGCATGGGCATAGCATGACTGCAAAGTTGGGGGTGGTAGAGTGAAATGTGTCCACCAGGTTTCTCTGTTCATTTGTTTTTTCAATATCTGCCGAGCATCTGCTAAGGGCAAGGTCACATCTAGAGCTGCACTGACAGCACATGGAGCTGTAGAGCTCTTGAAATCTGGCTAGCGAGATTGGAGAACTCAACTTCTGATTTTATTCAGTTTTCAAATTTCACTTGTGATTTCTTCTTTGACCCATTGATTAGTTAGGAGTATGTTGTTCAATTTTTACATACCTGGGAATTTCCCAAATTTCCTTGTTATTATTGGTTTCTAATTTCATTCCAGTTTGGTCAGAGAAGATATTTTGTATGAGCAATCCTTATAAATTGATTGAGACTCATTTTATGGCTGAGCATTCGGGCTGTCCTGGATATACTCCATGTGCTCTTGAAAAGAATGTGTTGGATGGAATGGATTTTATTTAATTTTAATTAATTTAAACAATAAAACTGATACTTCACTTATTGGAAAACATCTAAATATGTCTGTATACATGGACAACCTGAATACATGAATCTACTTTTTCAAATGTAAATGTTGTAAAATCTGAATACAGGTCAAGCATTTCTGATGAAAATTTAGCACCCAAATTGAGATGTGCTATAAGTGTAAAATAAACTTCACCCCAGATTCCGAAGACTCATGAAAAAGAAAAGTAAATTAGCTTGTTAATAATTTTTACATTATTGCTTTCCTGAGAATATTTAGGATAGTTGGGTTTAAATAAAATATATTATTAAATGAATTTTGCCTGTTTATTTTTATTTCTTGAATGTGGCTACTAGAAAATTTTAAATGACATATGTGGCTCGTATTTTATTTACATTGGCCAGCACTGGTCTAGAAGTGAGGACCTAGCAGTGAACAGATTAGACAAGAATTCCTGCCGTGGTGCCTACATTCTAGAGGGAGGAGAAAAGGACAGAATTGGTTGGGTCCTAGCCCCACCAATTGACCTCTCCCCGGAATTTTAAGGGGAGAAGGAAAGAGGCGTAAATGGGAGGAAAGGGAGGGGACTGAGAGACAGGGAGAGTGGCAGAGCCAAGTAGAGAGAGAGAGAGAAGGATGGAGAGCCCGCCATGGGGAGTAGTTTGGATCTGACCTTATTTTCCCAGCCTTGCTGCTCCCTAGAGAATCGTTTCCCTCCACGCCTTCCTTGGAGCCTTCAAACACACTGTTTCCTTGGAAGCCCCCGAACCTCTGTCTGCCCTGGTTCCTGGGAGGTTGCACTTGCTAGGAAGGCAGAATCTTGGGCTCCAACCCAGACCAACGCGACTGGAATTTGTGCTTTAACCAGACCCCCCGGTGAGTCCTACTCACTCACAGTTTGGGAAGTTCTGGTCTAGAATGTCCTTCTACCTAATTACTTCTCCCCATTTATTTATTTTTTTCTATTTTGTTTATTTTTAAATTGAAGTATAGTTGATTTTCAATGTTGTGTTAGTTTCAGGTGCACAGCATAGTGATTCAGTTATATATATATAGTCTTTTTCATATTCTCTTTCATTATAGGTTATTACAAGCTATTGAAGATAGTTCCCTGTGCCAGACAGTAAAACCCCAGTTACTTCTTTCTTTCCCCAAAGATTTCAGATCAAGGCTGTTTTTCCCAGGAATCCTTCCTCGATCCCCTTAAGATCTGACTGTGGCCAGAAGAAGGGCGTTGGCAAAAGCAAGCATGCCTCTCCATGCTTCTGGAGGTTAAAAAAACAATTGCCAAGAATATGGTTAAATTATCAAGATGATGTGAAATCCCACCCTGGCTGTGAATTGTAGTAGGGAACACAGTGCAAATTCATCTTTGAAAGCGGAAAGGAAAAGCTATGAACAGCCGTCATGCCATCTGGCGGACAGAGCTGGTAAGTGCATGCCCCACAGCAGCAGGCTGCGCTCTCCGGTGGCTGGGCAGACAGGCTGGGAGGTGCCTGGTGGGAGGCTGAGGGTCTTGTCCGGAGTTTGGAGCTGAGGGTGGGAGGATGTGGGCGTGACTTTGGCCTGCCAATCTTTTGAGAACAACTGGTGGAGGATCCTGGTGGGGAAGATTTCTGCCCGCAGAAAACTCTTCAAATTGGAAGAAATGTCCAGGGGAAGAAGTCAGCTTCCCCAGAGATAAGACTCTGCCCTGTTAGGACCATCCGAAAGAGGGCATCTCAGTCCTGTCTGGCTCCATGACTCATATAGCAGGAAAGCCTGGGCCTGGGGATCATATAGCCAAGTTTGAATCCTGCACATGCTGTGTGTCCCTGAGTCAGTTCCTTCCCCTTTTTGATCCTCCATTCTTTCATCCAAGGGTCTCACACACTTTTTTTAAAATAGTTTTTTTGGGGGGAAAGGGGGAAGGTAATTAGGTTTATTTAATGGAGGTGCTGGGGATTGAACCCAGGACCTGGAGCATGCTAAGCATGAGCTCTTACCACTGAGCTCTACCATCCCCCTCAAGGGGCTCACACGCTCTTGGTCTGGGATTTCTCGTTTTAGCCCTAATGGAACCCCTGGGAGCTGAGTGAGGAGTTCAGGCCCTGGGGGCTTCGCCAAGGGAGTCGTCCCAATCTCTGCCCACCCAGGTGAGTTGCTCCACCCATTCTGTCTCTGATGAAGTTGTGGGGGTGCCCTCTGCTGGGAGGAACTAGGAGAAGACCTACTTGCCACTGGCGTAGGCACAGGCCCCTGGCCAGAGGTTGGAGCGCACGACGGCCACGGAGTACTGTGGGCTGAGGCTGCAGGACAGGCGGGCGGTCCAGGGTGACATGTGCATGATTTCTGTCGGGGAGCAGAGAGCACCAGGGAGGTCAGAGGCTAGGCAAGGTGGAGACACTTACCTCCTTTGCAGGGTGACAGTGAACCCTGAGGCCCCCTGACAGGGGAGCTACTGGGATTCTCCTTCTAGGTTGGCCATAGGTTTGAACCAGGGGTCACAGGGCAGAGCATAGGCTCTGGGCTTGTGGAAATCTGGGTCCACATCCAGATTCCATGCACTCGCCCACTCTCAGCCTCTCCCTCTTCCTTCCTCCAGGTGCCTGAGGTCCCAGTCTCAGGAAATTCCTGTCTAGCCTTCTAAAACCCAGCTCAAGTCCTGCTTCCCCTGAGGAGGCCTCCCTAGCCATCTCTCTCTCTCTCCTCAAGCCCATATGGGACTCAAAAGACCATATCTCACCATCTGGGCCACTGCCACCTGCCAGACACAGTTTATAAGATCGGCGCATCCTGTAGCCCCACGGGATGCCCATTTTATAGATGAGACTATAACTGAGGCTCAGAGAGGTGCTCCTCTCCCCGCCTTGCCACAGTCTTGCTGCCCCTCCCTTTCTGCCAGCCTCCACCAGAGCTGGCGGTGTGTGAGGTGAGGACAGTTACCTGCATCTTCTGAGAGTGGCGTCAGCAGCGGGGGCCCGACCTCCTGCTCCACCTCCTCCATTCCCTCATCTGCCTTCTCTTCCTCCTCCCCCAGCTCCTCCTCCTCCTCTGTCTTCTGCAATGGGTTCACCCAAGTGCAGCGGCCCTGGAAATGGGGAGGAGGTCAGGTGGCACCCCTGGGGAGGGCAGAGCCTGGCCTGCACCCTGGGAGGAGGTAAAGGGCCAGGCAGGACACTGTGAACTGGTTCTGTTCTCAGGGACCCAGATGCGAGTAGAAGTACAGGTGGAGGTAGGGGGAGGATGGGCTGTTACAGTGAGATGGGGATTTCTGTCTCTGGCTGGCTCTTGGCCTCCATTTGTGCATCCATTCACTCATTCAGTCAGTCATTAGTTGTATATTTGAGGAGCACCTACTATACACAGGCATTACTCTAGGTGCTGGGGAGATATCCTTGAGAAAAGAGACTCCCCACATTGCTGCCCTGGTGGAGCCCATATGATCCCCTGTTTGCTCATCTGTGAAATGGGTGTGTCATGGATGCCTCTGTCATCACATTGTTGTTGGGTTGCCTGAGGTCCTGAAGAGCCAATAAATGTCTGTTGAATGAATGAATGAGCCTAAGGGCACAGCATATAGCAGACTTCAGTTTCAGCAACTGTGAAATGGGAATGATTGTTGTACCAATCTCAAAAGGAGTTATTTGGTTTCAGTACAACATTGTGAAGTCAATCAATGTTTACTGAGTGAATGAATGAATGAATAAAAATTCCACAGCAGGTGCTTCCTGGAATAAATAAATAAATGTATGTAAAGTTCAGACACACTAGCCACTCGATAAATGCAGGTCTGCAATCTCTCACGCACAATTTCTAAATCTGAAAAGCTTTGAAAACCAAATTTTTCCATAAGTCATTTGGCAACAACCCTGGCCCAACTGATGAGAGGCTAGTCAGTTTTGCTGCAGGAATAATGATGCCTTTGAACCCGGGCTGTAGCCCCTACCCCTGCTTGAGGTGCTGCATAACATATGGCATATGCACTGTGTCACCTTTTTAAGATCTGAAAAATTCAGAATTCCAGGATGCACCTGGCCCCAAAGATTTCTAACAGGGAATTGTCAACCAGTATCTGTTGAATGAATGATGGAATGGATGCCTAGCAGTGAGCAGGTGTTTAATATCATTATTTGGGGGTCACACCTGGTTCTACAACAGGTGGGGAGGCTGGAGTTCGGTGCTCACCTGTGGCAGGATGTGCTGCGTGTGGTGCACCCAGTTGACCATGGAGTCCACCAGCTCGAGAACCGGGATTCCATCAAAGTCCGGGTTCTCCTCATAGGAGTCTCGCCCAGCACCACCTTCCTCTTCCTCGTCGCCCTCCTCCTCGCCAAACTGGTAGAAGCCGAGGGGGCTGATTTGTGTGGCGGCCGAGATGCGGGCGATCTGGGCGCGCAGGTAGTTGGCCTCATTGCCTGGGAAGGGTGGGTAGCTGATGACCGGGGCATCCAGGTAGCCCGTGAAGAACTTCTTGATCTTGCGGGCCTGCACGATCTGGATAGGCGTGACGTGGGGCAATCGCGCCCACGGCCGGCCCGGCTCATTGCACACGAAATACAGGTACTTGTTGGCGCCGGAGCGGCTCTCTTCCTTGGGGATGGCAGGTGGCGGCTTCCACGTGGGCTTGGGGATGACGTCGGGGATCTTCTCCTCCTCCTCGCCCTCCTCCTCGCTGTGCGTCTCCATGATGTCGCCGCCCTCCATCATCTCCTCCACTTCCTCCTCCTCCCCCTCCTCCTCCCCCTCCCGGAATTCCACCTCAGCCACCAGGTAGCTGCGACTGAGCCCCAGGATCTTGCCCCAGAAGCGGCAGGTAAGGATGGGCTGCTGCTCCACTAGCTGCTTCAGGGCCATGAAGATGCGGAAACTCTCGTCTGAGCCCAGGCCCACACCGGCCTGTTCGAAGTAGAAAGCCTTCTCCATGATGTTGGGCACCGCTGTCTCAGCCTGCAGAGGGCGGGGTGGAGGGCACGGGGGAGGAAGGCTGAAGCCCTGCTCTGCAGCCTGACTCAGTTCTAGAGTCCAGAGAGTTCAACTGCTCTGTAACCCAGTTCTGGCCAGTGAGATGTAGGGGTAAGTGTGTAAAGGAACAATGACGTTTAAATTGTACCAGCTGATGTAAGAGGTTTGGTGGCAAGCGCACTGAGGTTTTTCCTATGTATGGTATTCTTATTTTCTTTTTAAAGCTCCCTTTGTGAACACAGTGTTAACGGGAACAATTACTGCATCTTTTTCCTAGGCCTCCTGGACTGTTTTGGGGTTCACAAGAGTTTGAAGCCCCTCCCCACCGGAAGGTATGCTTTGCACCCCACCCCCACCACTTTCATGTCACTTGCTCTGACCACTTGAAGGCAGAAGCTGGAAGAACCCGTGTGGGGGTTGCTATGCCCTCTTTCTCCTGCTCTGCAGCTGGGGGAGCCTGGGTCACAGTGGCACCTCTGTCATCCTCCATCTCAAGTGACTGATGAGCCAAGCCCTCTTGCTAAGCCTGGATGGGCCAGTGGTGTGAGCGAGAAATAAACTGTGTGGCATTAAGCCACTGATATGGCTGGGCTGTTTGTGATCTCAGCTCGACAGGATCCACCCTGACAAATACGATACAGGAGGAGAATCGTAATTTTTACAAGTGATCCTGGCAGTTTCTCTCAACCTTAAACACAATGCCAAAGCTTGTTTGCCTCGTGTTGCCACCAGCAACCGAGGGGGCAGAGTCAAAATTTAATCCCAAGACTTCCCCTGGCTGCCAGGAAGGAAGATAAGAGACAGATCATAGGAAACCCTCTCTGGGGTGTGTGCCTGGCTCATAGTCGATGGACATCACCCTCTTTCTGGGAACGTCCCTCCATTGACTTGGCAATGGCATGGCCTGACCAGCCATGTTTAAATGACATCACCCTACCCTTCCAGCCACTGTTGATTGGAGCAGGTGGGGACAACTGTCCCAAAATGGCAGATCAGACTCTGCTTCTCTCCCTCTGCAATTTGGAACTAGGTGAAGAGAGAGTACAGCCGTCATCACCCTGCCTCGCAATTACTTCTTTGGTATGGCTGGGTTTGAACCAAGGCTGGTCTAGCTCCAGAGGCCATATTCTTAGCCTCCACTCTATAACTCCTCTGTGAATGGCAGCCAGAATCTTCCTTCCCCTTTCTTTCTGCCAGCTTCCAGGAAGATCCTATCTGTGATCTGGGAGAAAAGATTTCCCGGTGGCAACTGGAAGGAATTTAGAAAGAAAATAATTCAGCAGCTGCGGGGTGGCTGTATACTGTGTGGTGGAGGAGGTAGGGGAGGAGAGAGAAGCAGAGGTGAAATATGGGCACCTGAATGCCAGGTTGGCCTGGGGATCAGCTACATTTATTCCTGCCCTTAGGTTCAGTGCAATCAGTCATTGGCAGCCCACTGAGCTGGCACTATCCTCAACCCCCTTCTCCACTGGTTGCCTTCCCCAGGCTGGAGAAGTTCCACAGTCACTTTCCTTGCAGCCAGGAGTGGTCACATGACCCAATCTGGCCAATAAGATACAAGCAGAGGTTTTCTGAGCGGCTCCAGGGAAACTTCGGCATCCTTGATTTAAAAAAAAGGGGGGGACACATAGGGAAGAGCTCCCCCCTCCATTTTGGGGGTGCTGGTGTGGGGATATGATATCTGAGGCTTTAGTAGCCATTTTACAAGCATAAAGTGACAAAATCAAAGACCAAAAATCAACGTGATGAAGGCAGAACAGAGGAGACGAAAGAGCCAGGATTCTTCATGATCTCACAAAGATCCTGCCCCAACTCTACCCACTCTTGGCAAAGCTGAAGTAATGATGTGTTTTGCTGAACTGCTTGGGCCATTTTAATCAAGCACTTGCAGCCAAAAGTGAGCCTTACTGACTCTGACTGTCTTGGCCAAAGATGGGATTTATACCCAAGCTTCAGTGATGCTGAAAACTGCTTTCTTGATTTGGGTGGGTGGGGGGTAGTGAGAGGGTGGGGAGTGTGGGAAGAAGACAGCCTTCAGTGCCCCTTCACTAGGGATCCACCTTGTCAGCCCTGGACTGCTTGCACCTATTAGGTGTGAGAAAGACTTCTGTCTTGTCTAAGCTACTTGTCTTCATTTCTTTGACATCTACTTCCTGTCTTAAAGTGTTTCAAACAAGAACAGTAAGGTGTTAGTTTTTGGAACATGACACAGTAACACTAAAGTTAGTTTAAAACTGTAAATGTGGGGGTGGTACAGCTCAGTGGTAGAGCACATGCTTAACATGCACGAGATCCTGGGTTCAATCCCCAGTACCTCCACACACAAAAAAAGTAATAATAATTAATAAATAAAACAATTACCCCCCCAAAACTGTAAATGTGAGAATAGTCAGGAACTTTCCAAAACAGATGTGCAGTGATGGGGAACCTTATACTGCCAAACAGCCAAACCTGCTATGCAGAGGTTGTACACAGCAAACACAAGAGTCCTAATGCAGAAAGCCATCTACAGAGCAAGGCACAAAATAGAGACCCCAGAAATGAACCTGAGTCAGTACAGGGGTAAATAAATGGTAGAGGTGACATTTTCAAAGAGGGGAAAGAATGAGTTTTTCTACAAATGTTGTTGGGGATCATGGAAGAAGTAGACATTCTTTCCATTTGGAAGAAATAGAAAATGAGAGAAATGAGAGCCCTTCCTCCATTAAGACAGAAAAGTAAATACAAAACGCTGAATCACGGATTTGAATCTTCCTAGAAACAAGCATAGGCCACAAACGCCCACAATTTTGCCCTTCTACAGACCACATATTAAAAACTCCACCTCCAAGTTCTAAGGGGGTGGGGCCTCCAGGGCCAAAGTATTTGAAGAGGGCGGTGTCTCCCTTAGGATTGAATTTCAAGGGGGCGGGGCGTCAACAGTTGAGGGGTTCTAAGGGGGTGGAGCCTCTAGAGGCAAAGCGTTCTAAGGAGGCGGGGCTGTCAGGGGCTTAACGTTAGGTGGAGGTGCTTGCGACCTGGAGGTGTCGCAGAGGAAGGGTGCAGTTCTAAGGGGGTGGGAACTTTCGAGGAGAAATTGCTGATCTGAAATTTAAAACTGTATTCTCAGGTAAAACTGTTCTTTGTTTTAATGGGACTTGGATTCCCACCTGCACTCTGCTCACTCAAGTGCTCATTCCTTGGTCAAACTGTCGTTCCGGTTTCTCTCACTATCCCACCCCACTGTCGTCAGAATCCTAGAATTTCAGAAACATAAGATACGAGCCCAGACCAACAGCATCCGCAGAGATGGCAGAGGTTTTAGACCAGGCTTTGGAGGACATAGTCCTGCCTTCCTAGTCCTGTCTCTTCTCTAGCTTCGACCCCTCTAAGTCCTTCTGTCACAAATAGAAATAATAAATGGCACTTGCCTTACAAGGTTGTTTCAGGGATGAAACAGACCCCGCTCCTAAAACCCTTAGCAGGGGGCCTAGGAGGTATCAGAATGATCATAAACAGAGAGTTCTCAACAAATGTTTCTTGAACGAGTGAAAGAACACTTCACCCAAATTTTAAGCCGTCATCCAGTGCTGGAAACAGAATCGTGGAATGAAATATTCATAGTGGAATGTTAATGAGTCTGGTCTCAGCTTGCAAAAGGGGAAAGTGAGTTGGGGGGTAGGCAGCAAATTCAGTGTTGAGAGACGCCAGGAGGTAGTGGGTTTCACAGAAAACATCTGTGAAGCAGTTTTTTTGCAGAAGGGAGGAGTAAGACGTGGTAGGAGAAACCAGGCTCCATTTCCCTGTGGCGCTGGAGTTCGCTTTCTACAAAGCAGAACTGACCAACTTTTTCTCTGCATCAAGCCCTCCCATGGCACTCCAGTGGCCTCAGAAGAAAGCCCAAGCCCCTTAGCCTGGCGTTCAAAGCTCTCTGTGACCTGGTCCCGGGCCCCCTCCTCCACAAAATTGAAATCACATGTTTCAGGGTGATGCTGTGCAGTCCCTCACCTCCAGGCATTAGCACTGGCTGCCTGAGCCTGGGTCACTGCTCTCCCCGCTGCGTACCCCTCCCCACTGATTCACTCACCACCTCCTCCTCCATCTCCTGTTCGCCCTCGCCGCCGCCGCTCCCGCCAAACAGCGCCTTCTGCCTCTCAGCCATCTCATAGATGGGCTGCATCTCTGGGTCGTCCCGAAGTGTGTCCAACTTGGGGTGGAACCACTCCCATTGCGTGGTGCGGTTTAGTGACTCCAGGAGGAACAAGGGGTTCTCTGGCCGCTGGTTCAGGATCTTGGTCAGCAGGTTCACCAGGTGCTCATACCTGCCTCCCGCAGAGGGGAGTGGGAGGTGGGGGGATCACTCACTCAGCTTACTGAGCTCGCTGCTGTGTGTCTGGCCCTTTGCCTGGTGCTGGGGACACAGTAGGGGAGAGAAAAGGTCCTTGCCCTAGTGGAGCTGACATTTTGGTGAGAGACAGATATTAACCAAATGTGCAAAATATATAGTGTGCTGGGGGTGGTAATTTATTTGAAGACAAATAAAGCAGGGAATGGGGACTGGGAATGCTAGAGATAGGAGATGGTTTGCAGTTTTAAATAGGGAGGCCTTGGACAGCTTCACTGAGGTGACTTTTAAGCTGAGATTTGAACGCTTTCATTCAATGAGGGGGCAAACCACGCAAATATTGGAGGGAAGAGTGTTTCAGTCAGAGGGAACAGCAGAAGCATAGGCCCTGAGACAAGCTATGAGTCTAACATAATCTTGATACCAAAACTCAAGGAAACTAGGAGAAAGGGACATTCTATGCCAATCTCATTTAGAAATGTAGATGCTGAAATCCTAAACAAAATATTAGCAAATGGCATCCAGTATTCTCAAAAGGACAACACACCATGATTAAATTGGGCTAACAGCAGGAATGCTGAGACTGGACTGATATTAGAAAAATAGGAAAAAAAATTTAATTCATCACATTAACATGGTAGATGAGGTATGTAAGATCACTTCAACAGGTGCAGAGAAATTGATAACATTCAATACCCTTTCATGCTTTTTAAAAACCTAGCAAACTAGGAATAGAAGGTAACTTTTCATAATCTCAATAAAGGGTAGCCACAAGTAACCTGCAGCACACACCAAACATAATGGTGAGAAGATGGAATATTTCCCCTATGAGACTGGGAATGAAGATGCCTTCTTTCACCACTGAGTTATAATATTTCACTGAAGTTCCCAGCCAATGCAATCTGACATGAAAAAGAAAGAAAAGGTTAAAGGATTAGGAAGAAAGAAGCAAAACTGCCATGGTTTGCAGATGATGTATTTGAGAATGGAGTGCGAGGCCTTGAGCTGAGGGTGTGCCTGGCATGTTGGAGGAGCACTGAGGAGGTTACTGTGGCTGGAGTAGAGGGAGGGATATGGGTTGTGGGAGGAAAAGAGGCCAGAGTGATAACAGTATTGTAGTGGCTTCCATTGACCTGAGTCAGGTATGCTGAGCACTTGAGAGCATGTTGATTTCTCACCACCATCATACATCTGAGGAACAATTATGATCCCCACTCTCCAGCTGAGGAAATTGAGGCCTAGAAAAGTTGAGCTCATGAGGTCAGACAGGGTAGCACGGCCAGGATTTAAAGCCAGGTATGCTTGATTTCAAAGTGTGTATGTCTAACCCTCTCCAGTGTGCAAACCCTTTGGCAGCAGTCTTGGGTGTGGTGGGGTTGGGGAGCCAACATTGAATTGGGAAGGATCAGAAGTGAGAGTACAGGGCTTTTCAATGAGGGACCTTGAAGTTCCAGAAGGCTGGGTTTTATAGGGGAAGAGCTGGAGGTTAATTCTGACTACATTCTAGGATCTGAAGGAGGAGCTGACTAGAGATGAAGTTTGGAAAGCAAGAAGGGACTGAATTATATAGGGCCTTGAAGCTGTTATGAGGAGCATGAACCTTATCCTGAGGGCACTGGTGAACCATGGCAAGCTCTGAGCATAGGAGGGATAGGGGTCAGCTTTATGCTTTAGCAAGACCTCTTACTTCTCCAACCTCATCTTCCCTCACTCTCCTTCCTCCCTTGGTTCCAGTCATACCAGCCTCCTTCCTGTTCCTCAAACACAGCAAGCTTCTAAGCCTCTAAGCTCACTGTGTGCTATATCTAGAGCCCTCTTCCTCCAGTTACCTTCAGGGTGCTCTCTCTCACCTCCTTCAGGTTCCTGATCAAATGTCACTTCCTCAGAGAGGCCTTCCCTGACCTCACACTATTTAACACGTGCTCCCTATCCCTCCCTTACTCTGCCTTAGCTCACCTTAGCTCTTATCATCACTTTATCATCTATTATACTTATTATCCATTAGAGTGTCAGCTTCTTGAGGATGTGATGGGGGGCTGAAAGGTGTGTTATGACTGCAGCTGAGTGGCCCTGGCAAGTGCCTTCCCCAGGCAGGAAACTTGTGGATAACAGGGCCTCAGAAGCCAAGTCACTTGTGCTGAAATCCTGGCTGACACATCCTAGCTGTGTTAATTTGAATATGAGACCAATTTCTCTGTGTCTCAGTTTCCTCCCCTGTAGAATAGGAACAGGTGATCCTATTCTCATCGCAGCTATGGGAACCAGATGTGCATATGTGAAGTGCTGGCACATCTGGCAAGTAAACGCTAGCTGTTGTTGTTTGCCCCCTGACTTGACTCCTAGTCTGAGTTAGATGCCCCCCGAGTAGCCACTGGTTATCAATGAGGAGTAATCCCCTGTCTGACTGAGGAGACCCCAGACCTGAGGTACGGCCTTGGCTGGGGTCTCCCCTGCCTGGGTCCCGCCCCTCCCCACTCCTGGGCTCCCCTCTCACAGGCTGAGGTCGCAGTTGACGCTGGTCTGCAGGAGGTAGGCCTTGGCGTTCTGCACAGCCAGCTCCCGAGGTTCTGGCTCCGGCATCTCCATGCTGAAAGGCATGAAGCCTAGCTCGGAGGGCGAGAACTGGAGGGCAGGATCATCCCTCAAGTAGGGCCCATGCTCAGCGCTCTGGCCGAACTGCAGGTCTCTCTGGTACATGGTGAACTGGCCCAAGAGGTTGGCCCCGGGCTCCTGGTAGGCAGCCTCCAGCTGCTGGAATAGGTTGCCTTCACCTTGCTGTAGCTGCTGCAGCATGAGGCTGGCATCGTGGGTGACCTGGAACCTGCCTTCGCTCAGGTAAGGTTGGGGCTGTATCTCTGAGGAAAAGCCCGTATTCAGGGAAGAGTACCCTATGCCACTCAGCTGGGCTTCTTCAGCCTGGAACATCAAGTTCTCATTTTGGGTCAGGCTGGCCCTTTGGGACCAGCCCCGGAGGTTGGTCTGGCTCGACACGACCTCCTGACTGCTGCGCGGGATCTGGGCGTCAAGGGGCGTTTGCTGCACCTCGTAGGGAACCGTGGGCTGGGGTCGAGGCTGTTCCTGACTGCGCCGCCGCTCAGAGAGCTGGGAATTCCTACGGCTGGAGGTCGGCTGAGAAGGGGAGTCAGGGCTGGGCAGTGGGTCCCCCATAGTTCAGAAAGGATCACAGACTTCTAGGAGGAAGGCTTGCAGATAGGCAGGCCAGACCAGTCGCCCGTTTCGCATCTATCCGCGCTGGTTTCTAAGGAGGGAAGGGGCGGGCCGTTACCAGGGGAGGGCGCGCGGGGATGCCGGGGCCAAGGAGCTGGTTTCCGCGCAGGCGCGGCCCGACGCTCGAGTGGCTTTCAGTCTTCCAGGGGGCTCCCGGGTGCACCTACTGGCTACCGCAAAGCCCCACAGCTGACACGGAGGCACAGACGAGAGACTGCACCCATGCCCTAGACTAGCGGTTTTTGTTTTTGTTTATTTTGAAGGCAAAGCCCTGCCCCGCCCTCCCTGAGCTCCCAGTCCCACTCCCCTTCCCCACCAAGCCCCGTCAGCTGTTCCCCTTGGTCTCAGGTTCCCCGGCTTCCTCCGCGGTGGGGCTGGGGGTCTTTAGGGTGTCTTCTCCGGCAGGGGTGAGGGTCTGGGGGCTCCGCTCCTCCTTTGAAATCAATCCGCCCGCTGCCACTTCCTGTTGACAGGAGAACGGGGAGTCTGTCAAAGACAGCGTGGTCCCACCTCCAATATTTCTTTCGGCCATACCTTCCCTCCTCCCCCACCTTGAGCACACGCAACCCCAGATCCCTGATTTTTCTCGTCTTCTGTTGCTCTGTTGTCACCCCTACCTTAGGTAGGGGTCCCTCAAGACTAGAGTCCAGCAGTGCAGCATCCGTCAGCCCCGAGTCATCATCCATGCTGATAAAAATGGCCGGGGTCTCACACTCAGGCCCCTCCTCCCGGAAATCAATGGCTTCCTCGGGCTGAGGAGGGCCTGGCCGGGCTGAGGAAGAGGACAACGAGGAGGACGTGGAGGGGGCTCCCACACCCCCAGGCTTCAGCTTCTGTTCCTCCTCCAGCTGCCGCTTTAAGGCCTTCTCCTGGGCCAGCCGCAGGCCGATCAGGTCTTGAGGGGGCCGGGGGCCGGGGGTGGTGCCAGAGCCAGGGGCTCTAAGTCATCCTAGGGGTAGGCAGGGACACACACAAGCTCAGAGATGGGTGGGACCTAGAACCCAAGCTGCTCCCTTGAGGATGGTGGGAAAGAAAGACAGTAACCATCCGAAGGCAGATGGTAGAGTGGGCAGGGAGTAAGAGGCAGCTGTCTCCCCACCCCCATTCCCTTTAGAAGGAACGTCCACAGACATTCCTAGAGTGGGTCCAGAGGAGGGGGTGGGGCCTCTCTGGCTTGGGAAGGGGGCTGCAAGCCCTCACCTCTTCCAGGGGCCCGGCAGGTGTTTCCTTAGTCTCTGGCTCCTGCTTGCCGCTGGCCTCCAGGATGGTCATGATGGAGTTGGGGATGTGTGCTTGCTAGGGGAAGAGCAGGATGGCAGTGCCATGGAGAGCTATGACCCAGGGACGCCCCCTCCCAGACCCTTGGTGTCCCTGGCCCTCCAGAGCCCCAGACCTTCCTGGCAGTGTAGGGCTCCCCTCTGCCCACCTCCATCCAGTCCCCAAGGGCTGAATCCATGGGGCCACCCACCCCACACCCTGGGGTACCTGGTGGGGAGTGAAGGAGCGGACGTGGGCCAGCAGGGGCTCCCGGAGCTCTGGGCACTTGTCAAAGACGGCACCCAGCTGCTGGGGTGGGAGCTGCAGGATGACCTGGAAGCTCTGGGGCTTGGTGCGCTGACAGCATTTGATGAAGCCCTCCCACACCTTGGGATACTTCCACACCTGAACCAGGCAGGGAGGGAGCAATCGTGAGGGGGCCTGCAGGCAGCCAGCCAACCCAGAAGCTGGGAGAAAGACCTTGCCAAGATGGCACAGCCTCATTTCATTCTCACAGCAGCCTCAAGAGGGCGACATTAGCCCTGCTAAACACAGGAGGCCCAGGGAGGTGCAGGGAATTGTCCAGGGTCCAAGCGGCAGAGCTGACATCTGAACCCAGGTATGTCTGAATCCACACTTAACCTCTAAGCCAGATGTTGCTGGCAACCTGTGGGTTGAATCCAGCCTGAAGGCTTGTGGATGAGTTATGTTTTTTGTTTCATCCTGGTTATTTCTAAAACCGTCTCCAGCTTCTCTTGAAAAGTGGGACCATCTTTCAGATCTAGTATGCATCCTGGCTGGGTGCATAATGGTGTGGTGGGGGGTGGGGCAAGGGGCGGCCATGCCTCTCCTGGGATGTGTACTCCATGAAGTCTACTACTTGCTCCTACCACCCAACAGCCCTCACTCATCACACTACCACCCTGTAGCTGTCCTGACTTAGTGACCCCCGGAGGACAGTACTCTCAGCAGAGGGAAGGGCAAAGGAGCTGGCCGTCCTGGTAGAGCTTGCTCTCTGCATGGTGGCTCCATCAGGGAGGCCATGCCTGTTGGAAAAGCCTGGCGTTTTGCCTCAAGTCTGTCTGAAGTGTGTCCTGCTGCGGTCCACTGCTTGGGAGACTGGGGTGGTCAGGGTGGGTTACCTGCTTCATGATGAGGCGGGACAGGATGTTCATGACGAAGCCCCCCAGGCGGGGGTACATGGTCAGGGACTGGATGACGGTCCTCATGAGCAGCATGGGCAGGGGACTCTGCTCCATCAGCTGCTGCATCACCACGGCCAGCACCTCCGATGTGTACACGTTCCGCTCCGCAAAGCACAGGTTGGTGGCTGCGAGGAGGCGGAAAGTGGGCCTGTCCTCTTTGCCCAGCTGCCCCTTGGGAGGTGGGAGCCCCACCACCCTTAGAGAGCTTCAGCCCCTTCATCTGCCAGTATGAGAGACCCAGCCCTGACTTCCTAAAGCTCTAGGCAAGACAGATTACCCCCAGCCAGCAGGTCTCTTTCTGAGGGGGCACTGTGGCCTGGTCTTTGGAAAGCCTGGGAACTCAGTCCAAGGGAAAAGACATGTCCAGCTCCTGGAAGCCCCACTGGGCAGAGTGGGAAGACCCTGGACCTCTCTCTTTGGGGACAACCCCCAGAAAGGATAAGGTGGGAAAGACATGTTGCCAACCCCTGGGGATGCATTCTGGCTTGACCAGGGTGGCACCTCCACTCCTAGTGGAGAGGGAAGGAAACTCTGACGTCCATAAGCAATCCCATAGGGGACAGGAGAGTCCTCCACCAGCTGGCTGGTCAAGAGATTGCCCATTCTTGACCCAGTGTATAAGGGCTTGAGCTGGTGAGAGGGTGTCATGAGGCCTGGGGTTATGTAGGGGACGCAGTCCACAGAGCAATGAGGGAGGGGCAGCAGGAGGAAGCCTGGGCATATGGTGAACTCCCCAGCTCAGCACCCAGTGCCAGGAAGGGCCCAAGGAGGTCTGGCACAGCACAAGCACCCACAAAGGCAGGAAGACCAGGGCAGGTCTTGGGGGTCTGTTCCCTCAAGAGTGGGTTGTGGTACCCTGAAATCTGTGGGATTGGTGGTGCTCCAATCCATTGTGCTAATGGGGAGAACCCAGGAACTGCCTCTGAACCCCTTCTTCCCCAAACACCACTTGCCATGTGAGTCTGTCAACCAGGAAGTCTTTATTGAGCCAGAAGAGAGGCCCCCAATCCTTGAGAGGCTAATGGAGAACAGAGGTGTGTGCCTATAAGGAATGGGGGGTGGGGGCGCTCCTATCAGGAAAAGAGGGAGGATGAAGGCATTACAGGTAGACAGGCAGGGAGGAGGCTGGAGGTGGGGTAGGGCAGGTATCTAGGCAGGAGTGTAGAAGGTGAGAAAAGTGCAAGAGGACCCACCAGAAACCGAGGATGTCCCTCCTCCTCCCTTCTAGGTAGTCACTGGCTCCTGCCTGCTTTGCCCAAAAGTCTCCAAACTCAACCCTCTTCCCTCTCCTCCCGCTCAGCTCTGCCCCAGCCTCCTTCAGGGCCTCCCACCCACCATACATCAGCCGGAAGGGACTTTCAAAAGCTCAACCTGACCCTGTACCTCCCATGGGCCCTCTAGAGAGCAAGTCCAAATCTGAACTGGCCTGAGAGAGATTCCACGTGGGCAGGGCCTACACGGTTATAGCCTGACCTCATCTCTTGACGAGGCCCCCCTCCCCACATCACATCCAGCCAGGGTCAGCTCTGCAGTTCCAGAACCAGGCCATGCTAGCACATTTCTCGGCCCCTACAAATGTTCTTTCCTTCTCTGTATCATCTCTCCTGCTACCTCACCACTACTCATTCTTCTGTGGTCTCAGCTCAGGTGTCCCCTCCTCTAGGGGGCACTCCCTAATGTCCCACAGCCCTGTTCACTCTGGACTGTTACTCTGGGGATGGCCTGTGAGCCCCAGGAGGGCAGGGCCAGGGCTTTCTCCATCCCTGCTGTGTCCTCAGCACCACCCAGCACAGGGCTGAGCAGAGGTGCTCAGTGAGTTTTCTAAATTGCTGGACCAGACCACTGGACAGGTCTAGTTACAGAAAAATTCACCAGAGAAAGGATGGTTTAAGGGGGGACTAAATGCCAGAAATGACTGCTTATACTGTCAGATACTGGGGATTCCAATGGTGCACAAAATAGGACTGCACTTTGGATCTGGAGCTTTTAGGGTCGAGTAGGGTTAGCAGTGCAATTGGGAAAACTGCTGGTGCCTGAGCAGAGCAGCGTGCTCTGGGAACTGACTGGATTGTGTGTTTGGGATGAAGAGCTGGTAGGGAGACCAGACGAAGGGCAGCTGGGAGCTCAGCAGTACAGAGGCTCCACGTGGGCCTGGGTTTGCAGGAAGAAAACAGGTGGGGTTCTAAAGGCCAGGCCTTGCTGACATCTCCAGGGGCCTGGCCACTGGCTGCCTATGGTTAAGGCCCTTTTCCTCCCTGGGCCTTGGTTCCTGTGTGTAAGATCAGGGACTAAACCTGAGTCCATGAATGGGCTACAGTGGGGTGGTGAGGGTGGGCAGGGCCTACATGGTTATAGACTGACCTCATCTCCTGACCAGGCCCCCTCCCCTTAACCACCAGATCCAGCCAGGTTCAGCTCAGCAGTGCCAGAACCAGGCCATGCTAGCATAATTTGAATCCCCTCAAACTGTACACAAAC